CCTCGTCCTCCCTCACTTTCACACTTGACTCCGGGGCTTCTCGCTCCTTCTTTCGAGACCGCACTACCCTTACGCCGCTCGGCCGGCCGGTTGCGGTCTCCCTTGCTGACCCCTCTGGGGGTCCTGTCCTGTCTCACTTCTCCACTGTCCTCCCGTGTCCGGCTGCCCCTTCGGGCACCCTGTCTGGTCTGTACCTTCCCTCGTTCTCTACGAACTTGGTGAGTGGAGCGGACCTGCAGGATGTGGGGGTTCACCAGTTCACTCCTGCGAGTCAGCGGGTGACCCACTGCACGGAGGCACGCACAGGCCGACACCTGGCCACGTTCTCACGTCGGCCGGGGTCGAGTCTCTACACCCTGACCGTTGAGTCTCCTCCTGTCCCTGCGACTGATCAGGTGGCTGCGTCGGGTCAGGTGCTTGCTGCTGCGTCCCGGTCAGGTCCTGAGTCTGCCCCCTGTTCTTGTCGCCTCCTGTCTCACGAGACTCTCCTGTGGCACCACCGTCTTGGCCACCCCTCCTTGCCCCGTCTTCGGAGCATGGCTTCCCGTGTCCTTGTCTCTGGTCTTCCCCAGTCTCTCCCTCCTCTCCCCTCCGCGCCAGGACCTTCCTGTGTCCCCTGTGTCGAGGGTCGCCTCCGGGCTACTCCTCACTCCTCCCACTTCCCCCCGACAGAGGCTCCCCTGCAGACGCTTCACATGGATGTGTGGGGCCCAGCCCCCGTCCGTGGGCAGGGTCACGAGCGCTACTTCCGTGGTTGACGACTACTCGCGTTACACCACACTCCTCCCCTTGCGCAGCAAGGGTGCGGTCACTGAGGTGCTGATCGACTGGATCCGCGAGGCTCGTCTCCAGCTCAGGAAGAGCTTCGGCTCGGACTTTCCTGTTCTGCGTCTGCACTCGGACAGAGGCGGAGAGTTCTCTTCTCGCCTTCTGCGGGACTACTGTCGTGCACGGGGGATTCGCCAGACCTTCACACTACCGGACTCACCACAGCAAAATGGGATTGCTGAGCGCCGCATTGGCATGGTCATGGATGTCGCTCGTACGTCCATGATGCATGCGGCTGCCCCCCATTTTCTGTGGCCGTTTGCGGTGAGGTACGCGGCGCATCAGCTCAACCTTCACCCCCGGGTCTCTCGGCCTGCGATGTCCCCAGCCTTGCTGTGGACGGGGAAGGTTGGCGATGCGTCTGTGTTCCGTGTCTGGGGATCTCGGGCGTTTGTCCGCGACTTGTCTGCGGACAAGCTGTCCCCTCGTGCTGCTCCCTGTGTCTTCCTTGGCTTCCCCTCTGACGCCCCAGGGTGGCAGTTTTACCACCCCTCCTCTCGTCGTGTTCTGTCCTCCCAGGACGTCACGTTCGACGAGTCAGTCCCCTTCTACCGTCTCTTCCCCTACTGCACTTCAACCCTCCCCCCTCCCCCGGACTTCCTTGTGCCGGTTCCCCCCCCGGTAGACCCCCTCCCCCCTCAGGTTCCTGCCCCCTCAGGTGTGTCCCAGGTAGACGCCGTTGACCCGGTCGAGGTTACTGGTGACTCTGGTGCTGCTGCGGGTGCTGAGCCTGGGGGTGCTGACTCTGGGGGTGCTGTGCGCGGGGGTGCTGAGCCTGGGGGTGCTACTGCTGGGGGTGCTGGGCCTGGGGGTGCTACTGCGGAGGGTGCGGAGCCTGGGGGTGCTGAGCCGGGGGGTGCTGTGCCTGGAGGTGCTGGGTCTGGGGGTGCTAGGTCGGGAGCTGCTGAGCCTGGGGGTGCTGAGCTGGGAGCTGCTGAGCCTGGGGGTGCTGCGTCTGGAGCTGCTGAGCCTGGGGTTTCTCCTGCTGCTGCGTCTCGCCGGGAGCCCCTCTCTCCACAGGAGCTGCGCGAGTGGTTCGCTCGCCGCTGGAGGCGTGCTGCTGAGTCTGGAGGTGCTGCTGGAGCTGGAGCTGGAGCTTCTTCGACCGTCGAGGGTGCGGGTGCTGCCGGTCCCGGAGCTGCTGGACCAGCGGGTCCTCCTGGAGCTGGAGCTGCTGCGGGCGTTGGTGCTGAGCCTACTGCTGTTGGTCCTGCCGCTGGAGGTGTGGGTGGCGCTGGTGCTGTCGCAGAGGGTGCTGGTGCTGTCCCTGCTGAGTCTGGAGCTGCCGCGCGGCCTCGGCCGTACTTCGTTCCACTCCTGCAGCAGGTTCTTGGTCTTTCTCCTCTAGTAGAGGGTTCACCGCCTCTCCAGTCGCAGTCCCTGCTGGAGCCTTCCTCTCCACAGCCTGCTCCCTCTCCTTACACTGGTCCTACTGGAGGTCTTGCTGAGCGTCGTGAGCCTGCGTCTCGTCCCGCGTCGCCTGTTCGTGCTGCTCGCGCTAGTGGTCGCAGTTCGCGTCAGCGTCCTCCTCCTGTCCCTGGCACGCACCGGATGTCTTTGCGTCCGTCCACTGCTCCTCTGCGTGCCCCTTTGCCTTCTCCTCCTGAGTCCTCTCTTCCTGCGCTTGCCGACCCTGAGTCGGACTCTCTTCGTGCTGCGAGTCCTACTGTCACGCGTCTCCTTGCTACTGTCGTCACTGACCCCTCTTTTGAGTCCACTGCTGCGTCTGCTCTAGTCGCTGAGCTCGCCGACTTTGCTGCTCGCTGTCGTCTCGACTACGCTGCTAGTCTTGTTGCTGAGTCTGCGTCTGTCTGTCCTCCGTCCGTCGGGGGTGAGTGTGCTCTTGGCACGGACGTCCTAGAGGACAGGCAGGAGGAGTTACAGTGTCTAGCGGCTGCTTCACCTCATCTCGCGTCTGTACTGCTTGCCCCTGAGGGAGACCCGGATGCACTAGACATCCCGACTCCGCGTTCTTACGCGGAGGCCGTAGAGGGTCCCTACTCCTCTCAGTGGCAGGCAGCTATGGATGCAGAGATGGCTTCCTGGAAGTCCACAGGCACCTACGTTGACGCGGTTCCCCCTCCTGGGGCGAACATCGTCAGTGGCATGTGGATCTTCAGGGTGAAGCGGCCGCCGGGCTCTCCACCTGTCTTCAAGGCACGGTACGTTGCTCGTGGCTTCAGTCAGAGGCAGGGAGTTGACTACTTTCAGACCTTCTCTCCCACCCCGAAGATGACTACTCTTCGGGTGCTGCTGCACATAGCCGCTCAGCGTGACTACGAGCTTCACTCTCTCGACTTCAGCACTGTGTTCTTGCAGGGTAGCCTGCACGAGGAGATCTGGCTTCGCCGTCCACCTGGCTTCACTGGGACTTTCCCTCCTGGCACCCAGTGGAGCCTCCGACGGCCAGTCTACGGTCTCCGCCAGGCACCGCGTGAGTGGCACGACACACTGAGGACTACTCTTGCGGCTCTTGGGTTTGCTCCTTCTACTGCTGACCCGTCGCTGTTTCTTCGCACCGACACTTCCCTGCCGCCGTTCTACATCCTCGTGTACGTCGACGACTTGGTCTTTGCCACAGCGGACACTACTGGACTCGCCTACGTGAAGTCCAAGCTGCTGAAGAGACACACGTGCACAGACCTGGGTGAACTGCGCAGCTACCTTGGCTTGCAGATCACTCGGGACAGAGCACGCCGCACCATTTTCTTGACTCAGTCACACATGGTGCAGCAGGTCCTTCAGCGCTTCGGCTTCACGTACTCCTCGCCTCAGGCCACTCCTCTGCCTACTCGCCACTCACTCTCAGCTCTGCCTTCGGATGAGTCCGTAGAGTCGAGTGGTCCGTATGCAGAGCTTGTTGGCTGCCTCATGTACCTGATGACCTGCACACGACCTGACCTTGCATACCCTCTGAGTATTCTTGCACGCTATGTTGCTCCTGGGAGACACAGACCGGAGCACATGGCTGCAGCGAAGAGGGTATTGCGCTACCTGTGCAGTACGTCGGGCATGGGGCTAGTGCTTGGAGGGCGGAGTCCAGTGGTCCTTACCGGCCACGCGGACGCTTCTTGGGCTGACGACCAGGCTACGCAGCGGTCGTCACAGGGTTACACCTTCAGCCTTGGTTCCGGCTCTGTCTCGTGGCGGTCTACTCGCTCGTCTTCGGTTCTCGGCTCCAGTTGTGAGGCTGAGATCTACGCCGGGGCCATGGCTGCACAGGAGCTTCGCTGGCTCACCTACCTGCTGACTGACCTTGGAGAGCCGCCTCGTTCTCCTCCAGTGCTGTACGTAGACAACAAGGCCATGCTGGCCTTGTGTCGAGAGCAGCGCTTGGAGCACAGAACGAAGCACATTGCTCTCCGCTACTTCCTTGCTCGTGAGCTGCAGCAGCGTGGTCAGTTGCGACTTGCGTACGTGGCCTCTGAGGCCAACACTGCTGATGTGTTCACCAAGGCACTCGCGCCTTGTGACCATCAGCGCTTTTGCACCCACCTGGGTCTTGTGCCTGTCTTGCCTCACTTGCTCTCCTCTTGACTTCACTTGTACTGTGACATATATATATACCTGCTCTTGCTTGTCTAGTTTTATATATATGTCTGTACTCCTGCATGTGAACTGGCCTCTGGCCCTGCTCTTGTGCTCGGACTGTGTGGTGACTTTGTGATCCACCCTGAGCTTGCTTTGCTTTGCTTGACTGGTCTTGTGACCCCTTGTTCTCCCCCACTTTGCCTATGGGGGTGTGTCAGAGTATTATAGCTGATGCATGTTTGTAGGCTATAGTGGGGTAGCACATATGGGGTACAGCTTTCTAGGGTTGTATTTGTACCCAACTCTGACTTAGTCATTCTCATTCCTGTTCACTTGTTTCACAGTAACCCAACCCACACGAAAGTGCTGTGCAGGTGGGTGAACGCGCCCCGCACATTTCCAACCCAACTCGGCACCGGAATGTCTCACCGTGCACGCTACTCCTGCCAACACAGCAAGTGAGCAGCGTGCCTCACAAGCAAGGCACCTACGACCCCCAAGACTCGTCATTCCTAGCACCGATTCCGCCGAGTTCGCTGCAGTAGCTCACAATCACCCGTAGTCACTAATGACCGCCACCGAACTCGTGCGTCGGTGCCGAGTAGACTCAGTCGTTAGGCGCCGACCTGCCAAGTCAAAGGTCATCGAGGGCCCTTGCTGTCGTAGGGCCCTCTAACACTCCCCTGCCATACTACAGCAAGGCCCTTTATCATCACAGGGCATGCATACACACATACACACCAAAACAAAGGGACACACACAAACGAAACACGCTCAAAGTGTAAACACGCACCGCACCAGCCATGGATAGGCCATGGCACCATCCACATCATGGAGTGTCTAGGTCTCACTCCCCTCGCTCGAGAGCCGCACTTGCCCCACAGCCTCGAAGCAACGACTGAAGGCGGGGAAATGCAATGCCTTCGTGAGGTAGTTAGCAGGCTGCTCGCTCGTAGGGATGTACTGCAACTGCAGCTTCCTGCGCTTGACCATGTGCTGCAGCCACATGTGACGACGCTCCATGTGCTTGAGGCTCCCCTTGAGCCCCATGCCACCTGCCACTGAAATGGCGGAGGAGTTGTCCACAGACAGAGTCGTGGGCTCCTCACTCTTCAGCAGTTGAAACTCTGCCAGCAGGAAGCGCAGCCTGCGCGCCTCCTTCCCAGCCTCCACAGTAGCAACGTACTCAGACTCAGTGGAGGAGAGGGTGGCGCAACGAATCCTCTGACTCGCCCATGAGACAGCAGCACCCCCGAGCACGAAGACATAGCCACCTGTGCTGGTCCTGTTCTGCTTGTCCCCAGCATCATCAGCATCGGCGTAGCCCACCAGCTCCAAGGACTCCGGCCCACCACCAAACTCCAGCGCCACATCCCTGCTCCCCACCAAGTACGTCAAGCACCGGTCCAACTCCTTCCAGTGCTGATCACTCCGCACAGTCTGGCCCGACCCCAGCTTACTGCAGGCGAACGAGATGTCGGGACGGGTGGTACATGCCGCGAACTGCAAGGATCCCACCTTCTGCCTGTACTCCTCCTCCTGGCGAGACTGCCATCCCACATCCTCGAAGGTCTGCACACTGAAAGGGTCAGAGGAAAGAGGGGTGCGAGGCACTCGCAGCGGCTGCTCCCCATCAAAGAAGCGCCTATGGACCTTGTCCACATAGGCTCCCTGGTGCAGCCACAGCCTCCTTGTGGGCCTGTCCCGAATCAGCTGCAACCCCAGATATTTCTCCACAGGGCTAATCTCCCGTAGCTGAAAGGCACTCTGCAGCAGGTCACGCAGCTCCGCTAGCATGCTCTGACTGCGGCTGGCAGCAAGCAGGTCATCCACATACACCAGCAGCCAGCACATCTCCCCCTCAGCATCAGTCTTGAAGTACAGAGCCTCATCCACCTTGCTCTTCTTCCATCTAGCCCCAAGCAGCACCCCATCCAAGGCCTCATACCATAGCATCGGGCTCTGCTTGAGCCCATACAGACTCTTCACCAACTTACAGACACGAGGAGTCCCATCCTCGTAGTAGCTCGGCTGCTCCATGTAAAGGTCTCGGTCCAGCACGCCATGGAGGAACGCGTTCTTCACATGGAGCTGCATCAGGTCCAAATCAAGTGCAGCTGCAATCGCCAGAAGCACACGCGCCGTCACATAGCTTCCCACAGGGGCGTACGTCTCCTCATAGTCCACCCCTGCCACCTGCGTGAACCCCTTCACCACCAGCCTCGCCTTCTCACGCTCCACTATCCCATCAGGTCGGAACTTGGTGTTCAAAATCCAACGGTTCTTCATCACATTCACCCCTGGCGGACGCGGAACCAACTCCCACGTCCCCTGCTCAATCAAGCTCCGCATCTCCTCATCCATCGCCTCCTTCACCTTGTCTCCCTTCCAGCAGCCCAAGGCCTCCTTCACTGTCATTTTCGCTATGTCCCACTGCCTCTCAGGAACAGCTGCCACGTCCGGGTCCACGTTAGTCCACTCCTCGTCCTCCTCCTCGTCATCCAAGCCCGCTGGCTCAACCACTACAGCCCAAGCGTATCGAACAGGCGGGACACCACAAGTGATGCGAGTGGAGCGACGCAATGGTGCAGTGGTCGTCCCAGAAACCAACACACGACCACCATCTCTAATTCCCCACATCTCCTGCTCCCCTGTCTGCGGCTCCCCTGTCTGCTGCTCCCCAATCTGCTGCTCCCCTGTCTGCTGCTCCCCAATCTGCTGCTCCCCTGTCTGCTGCTCCCCTATCTCCTGCCCCCCACTCTGCTGTACTCCATCCATACAGCTCTCGTCCTGCAGCTGCTCTGTCTCAAGGCGCTGCCCGTCGGTGATCTCCACAGACGGTGGCACCTCCATCCCCCCCTCACCAACGCGCGACGCCGTGGAAGACGAAGAAGAGGGCGGAGCAGGTGCAGGAGGGATGGAGGGTGGAAGGGGAGATGGAATAACAGGAGGAGGAGGGGAAGCCAAGGGGGGTGAGGAGGAAGAAGGCGGGGCAGGGGGAATAACACGAGGGTAGACTGAAGGCGGAGGTGGGGTGGGGACCGAGGTAGGGACATAGGGCATAGCAGGAGGTGCGACCACCTCCTCCTCCTCCTCCTCCGCCTCCTCAAGAGTGATCGGGAAGAGTGAGGGAAGGGGCTGATAGGGCATCGAACGCCCCCCATGCTCCTGCTGATGCCCAGCCTTCCATCCTGCTAGGGACATGGTCTCATAGAACACAGCTTCCACAGTGGTGATGAGGCGGTTGGACTCCAAGTCCAGCACAGTCCAGCCCTTGCTCGCAGCTGACACACCCAAGTGCAACCCCTAGCGAGCCTTAGGCGCCAGCTTCCCCCCACGCTGCGACTGTGGTACCATGTACTGCAGCATGCAGCCCCAAACACGCACCATACTGACATCAGGTTTGCTTCGGAAGGCGAGCTCGTACGGCGTCACACCAGAGGGTAGTGAGGCGTGCTCCACGCGGTTGCGCACCCAGACGGCCTGCACCAACGCCACGTGCCACCAGTGATGCTGCACACCCATGTGCAGCAACATCGTCCGCACCGCCTCCACAGTGCTGCGCATCTCCCTCTCGGCCATCCCGTTCAGCTCCGGCGTGTACGGGCATGTGAGGTCATGGATGATGCCTTTACCGTCGAGGAAGAGCGTGAAGTCGTGCCCCGGGAACTCGCCACCCCGATCAGTGCGCAGCGCCTGCACCGTGGTCTTGCACTGTCGCTCTGCCATCGGGAGCCACTTCTGGAACGCCGCCAGCGCATCACTCTTCTGGGCCAAAGGGTAGGCCCAGACATATCGCGTCTTGCGATCCTTCAGCACCAAGAAGTAGCGGCTGCCGTCCTTAGCTGCTTCACGGAAAGGGCCACACAGGTCAGCATGCACCACCCCGAGCAACTCATCCTCCTCCTCTCCCACAGAAGGAAAGGTATGACGAGTGATCTTTCCCCCAACACAGGAGACACAAGGTATGCCTGACTTGCCCCCCTTCTCCAAATCCAAGCCCTTCACTGACCCGTGAGCCGCTGTGCGCTCGATGGCATCAATACCAACGTGTGCCATACGCGCATGCCACAGGTCCCCCTTAGACCGCACGCCCGTCGCCAAGGTACGAAGTGCTACCGTTTCGCCTTCCTGCTGCTGCGTCGAACACGGCTGGAAGTTCGTGCAGATAACACGCTCCTTGAACTCCGCATGACCAAGGAGCAATCCATCTGGTGCCCGCAGCAAAGTCACATCCTCGGCATCCAGCAGCTGCACACCACTATCACGCAGCTGCCCAGCAGAGAGAAGACTCGCCTGCACTCCTGGTATGTACAGCACGTCCGGCACCAAGACACGCCTGCCCCCCTCTCCAAGAAGAGCAACTGTGCCCCGCCCCTGCTCCTCCTGAAGCACGCCGTTGAAGTCAGTAACCTATTTAATACTGCCGCCGCTGCTCATCTCCACAAAGGCAGAACGATCTCCCATGAGATGGTGGGAGCATCCGCTATCAAGCAGCACGACGCTCGGGTTTGCCTTCACAGCAGCTGCAACAGCCTGTAAGCCCTCCCCGGCGTCAGGCTCCAGCACAACGAGAGGAGTCTGCTCCACAACGGGCTTCACCATCGCACATGATGACTGCTTGCTCCCCTTAGAGCCATCACCCCCTTTTCCGCTGCTACCTCCTGAACTCTCTCCACCAGTGTCTACCTCCTTATCCGCCCGCTGCTGACAGTACTTAGCAACATGCCCTGTCTGTCCACACACATAGCAATTTCCCTTGAAGCCCCCTTTCCCCTCCTTCGGCTAGCCACCCTTAGCCCATTTCCCCTTCTCCCCTCCCTCCCCACCCCCATGCTTAGGCTGTGACTGCTGTGCCGTAGTGGGAGGGGAAGGGGATGAAGTCTGCTGGAAATAGGGCTTACCCTTCTTGGTAAAAACCTGGTTAGCCTGGGGAAGAAACTGGTCCTTCCGTCCCTCTGCCGCCAACGTTCACTCCTCCTCGATGATGTAGCTAGCGAGGGTGTCCTCGTCCAACTCCTTGCGCACCTGCGGCAACTTTAGCATCCTGTGTAAGAGGTTGTTCTGCTGCGGCAACCCCTTCACAACGTGAGTGATGTACGACGCCTGCGAGTAATCTACGCCGGCCATCCTCAGGTTCACTAGGATCTGTTGCGCACGGTTGCAATAGGACGTAGCGGACTCGTGCTCTCCCATCTCGAGGTTAGTGAGCGCCTGCTCTAACTGACCGATGTACAGATCGTCCTTCGCCATGTACGTGCGCATAATAAACTGCCATGCCTGATAGCCGGCATCTACCTTCATGCGACACGCCTTAAGGGCGATCTGTACGGTTTGGGAGCAGCATCGGGAAATGGTGGTGAACGTCAGCAACTGCATAGCGCGGAACTGAGAGAGATGCGCAAGCGCACGCGCTGGTGGAATGGGGGTGGTGCCATCTATGAATCGCTTTAGCTGAGCGATCTCAAGCTGCGGCTCGATTGATTCTGTCCACGTCGACAGGTCGTGACGTCCTTCTAACGGCCTAGTGACAACGATCTTGTCTGGAGTGAATCTGAAGTAGCCATAGTTGGGGGCTATTTCCTCGTCCCTCGACATCGATCCAATCGGGGTAACGCCCGGCATAGCCTCACAATCGAACTCTTCCGCAATTCCTCCTCCAGCAACGCTCCGCCGTCCTACATTCGCATGCTCTTGTGACGCTGCTGCACGATGAACACGCTCCTGTACACCGCCGATGCTAGCCGTACTAAACCGAGTTGGTCCTCGCAGGACCCCACGCGACATCAACCCATCAAACTCCTCGTCATCGCTATTTTCGCCATCGACAGCCATATCCCACCCACTAGTACCTCCCGCAACTTGCTCAACATTCTCTACACGTGGCGAAGGGTGCTCACGACGCCGACGCGAGCGCAATCCCTCCAACATTAGCTCGTATTCGATATCACTAATCTCACCACGAGAATGATGAGCCACGAGATCCTCCTCTAGGGCGCGCAAATTACCGGCCTCCACGTTCGCCTCCTCTGTACTCATCCTCTACGACGTCTCTATAAGGTACCACAAATTAAAATAAAGTGCCCCTTCCTTAAATCCCTCGTCTCGGGGTCACCTCATAAGGGTCCTCAGACGAGTGGTAATAAATTACCAAACGCCCTATTCTTGGGTCCGAGAACGTAACTGGAGGGAAATCAAGAGAGGTTCAACTTAGATTAATAAGCGCCCTTCACTAACGCCGCACGCCAAGGCGAGTATACGAACGCGAATATCAACGACGACAGAAATCTATGCGTGTTCGTTCCACGCTCACCGCACCATGAAGGAATATACTAGAGAGCGTAACGATAGCGAGAGAGTCTCTGCTATGGGAATGATGTCGCACCAGCAACTTGGTAGAGTTTTGGTAGCGTTTGCCTCTAAGGACTGAGAATTGAAGTAGCATTTGGGCCAAGTAGAATTGCAATATCAAGTATCAAACACACAAGCAAACACAAACATATATAGGCAAGCAAGAGTTGCATAATTGTTGCGTGGCGCTGCGAGTAACCCAACCCACACGAAAGTGCTGTGTAGGTGGGTGAACGCTACTCAGCGTATTTCCAACCCAACTCAGCACATTTCCAACCCAACTCAGCACCGGAATGTCTCACCGTGCACGCTACTCCTGCCAACACAGCAAGTGAGCAGCGTGCCTTACAAGCAAGGCACCTACGACCCCCAAGACTCGTCATTCCTAGCACCGATTCCGCAGAGTTCGCTGCAGTAGCTCACAGTCACCCGTAGTCACTAATGACCGCCACCGAACTCGTGCGTCGGTGCCGAGTAGACTCAGTCGTTAGGCGCCGACCTGCCAAGTCAAAGGTCATCGAGGGCCCTTGCTGTCGTAGGGCCCTCTAACAGCCGTAGCAGCGAAGTGCGCGCCGTAGCAACGAATTGCGCGCCGTAGCAGCGAAATCCGCGCCTTCGCAGCGAAACCCGCGCCGTAGCAGCGAAGTCCGCGCCGTAGCAGCGAAATCCGCCACGTAACAGTGAAACCCGCGCCGTAGCAACGAAATCTGCGCCGCGGCGGAGGGATCAGCGCCCAGGCAGCTATACTCGCGCGTAGGAGTGCCATTGCAGTGAAGCTCGCGCCTAGGCAGCGACTACCGCGTGTAGGGAGGACCACAAAGCGAGACCCGCGCCTAGGTACCAACACCTGCAGGTAGGAGCGTCCAGCGTATAGGGGAGTCTCCGTGCGCCAGCGACGCCCAACACCTTCGACTCACCCGGGCTGCGAGCCTTATATCGAAGGCGGGAGGCACCCCTCCAGCGCCCCCTGCAAACAGCTTACGCCATGACCAACGATCCAGACCCCCCAGACCGGGGGAGGAAGATCATTGCGAGGATTGGCCACAAGAGACCCAGGGAGGCAACGCCGAGTATGCAATACCCACAACTCTGTCGCCTCCACCACGAGGATGCACTATGCCTTTTTGGCAAGCCCAGCAAGCGACAAAGGTATAGACCCCTCTCGACAGAGGGGGGGACAGAGGAACCACCCAAAGACACTCTCGGCGGCTTCGTAGGCGGCAGCGACACCATCTCCAACTGGGACCTGGACGTGACGGACGAGGGCGAGTGCGGTCATGGGGCGCACAGGCAAGGTACCGGTGATGACGCGGCGATGGCTGCATGGGAGGCACACCGCCGGCAACTGCATGAGTCTCATGATAGGCGGCGGAGGGCCCTAGGAAATCCTTCGGTACGCCCAGCCCTCACAGCTCCGCGCGGGCCTCGCCTGGCTCAAAGGCAGGAACAGAGACGGAGAGCCCGGGCGGAAGGGCAGCAGTGGAGTCCAGCGGGGACACAGCCATCGAGGCAGGAGGGGGGGCAGCAGAACTGGCTGTTGGGGGAGGCCCGGAAGCCACAGGCAAGGGAGCAGCAGATGCGGCCGGCGGGAGGGGAGCAGGAGCTGCCGGCGAGAGGGGAGCAGGAGCTGCCAGCGAGAGGGGAGCTGGAGCTGCCGGCGAGAGGGCAGCAAGAGCCGCAGGCAAGAGGGCGGCAGGCGCGGTCGGCAGGCGAGCAGCAGGTACTGCCAAAGGGAGAGCAGCAGGAGCGGCTGGCGGGAGGGCAGCTGGAGCTGCCGGCGGGGGGGGAGCAGGAGCTGCAGGCAGGAGGGAAGCGGGAGGTGCCAGCGGGAGGGCAGCAGGAGGTGCCAACGGGAGGGCAGCAGGAGGTGCCAGCGGGAGGGCAGCAGGAGGCACCAATGAGAGGGCAGCAGGAGGTGCCGGCGAGAGGGCAGCAGGAGGTGCCGGCGAGAGGGCAGTTGGAGGTGCCGGCGAGAGGGCAGCAGGAGCTGCCGGCTGGGGGGCAGCAAGTGGTAGAAGTGGAGATGGCCGAGCTACAGCCAGAGGTGCAGCAGGACCAATCGGGGAACCGTGCCCGGCCACACGCAGGAGGGCAACAGGAGCCGCCCGGGGTAGAGCAGCGTGAGCTGCCAAGGGAAGAGCAGCAGGAGCTGCTGGCAAGGGAGCAGCAAGCAAGGGAGCAGCAAGCGGTAGAAGTGGAGATGGCCGAGCTACAGCCAGAGGCACAGCAGGACCAATCGGGAAACCAGGCCTGGCCACTGGCAGGAGGGCAGCAGGGGCCGTCCGGGGGAGAGCAGCTGGAGCTGCCAAGGGAAGAGCGGCAGAAGCCGCCGGGGGTGGGGCAGCTGCCACCAAGGGAGCAGCAAGCGGTGGATGTGGAGATGGCCGAGCTAATGCCAGAGGTGCAGCAGGACCAATCAGGGAGCCAAGTCCGGCTGCAGGCAGGAGAGCAGCAGGAGCTGCCAGGGGAGGAGCGGCAGGAGCTGCCAACAGGAGGGCAGCTCGAGCTGTCGGGGGGAGGGCAGCAGGAGCTGTCGGAGGGGGAGCGGCGGGAGCTGCCGGCGCGGGGGCAGCTGGAGGTCGCTAGTGCGGACTCTACAAGCCAAGCGAAGAGAACCCGGGCACGGGGCCGAGGCGGGAGACGACACGCCCGTAAGACGCAAGGGCGAACTGGAAGCGGAGCTGCCGCACAGCAGGCGGAGGGGCAGCCGGGGGCGACCGAGACACCCCCGGGAGCTCCGCGGGTGGGGGGGCAGCCCTGGGTGCCCGGGGCGCCCCAAGGAGAGCAGCAGCCAGGGGAGCTGCCGGGGGTGACCGGAGCACCCCAGGGAGAGCAACAGGCAGGGGGGCAGCCGAGGGTGCCCGGAGCACCAAAGGGAGTGCAGCAGGCAGGGGGGCAGCCGGGGGTGCCCGGGGCACCCCAGGGAGTGCAGCAGGCAGGAGGGCAGCCGAGGGTGCCCGGGGCACCCCAGGGAGTGCAGCAGACAGGGGGGCAACCGGGGGTGCCCGGGGCACCCCAAGGGGTGCAGCAGGCAGAAGGGCAGCCGAGGGTGTCCGGGGCACCCCAGGGAGTGCAGCAGGCAGGAGGGCAGCCGGGGGTGCCCGGGGCACCCCAGGGAGTGCAGCAGGCAGGGGGGCAGCCGGGGGTGCCCGGGGCACCCCAGGGAGTGCAGCAGACAGGGGGGCAGCCGGGGGTGCCCGGGGCACCCCAGAGAGTGCAGCAGGCAGGAGGGCAGCCGAGGGTGCCCGGGGCACCCCAGGGAGTGCAGCAGGCAGGGGGGCAACCGGGGGTGCCCGGGGCACCCCAGGGGGTGCAGCAGGCAGGAGGGCAGCCGAGGGTGCCCGGGGCACCCAAGGGAGTGCAGCAGGCAGGGGGTCAGCCGGGGGTGCCCGGGGCACCCCAGGGGGTGCAGCAGGCAGGGGGGCAGCCGGGGGTGCCCGGGGCACCCCAGGGAGTGCAGCAGGCAGGGGGGCAACCGGGGGTGCCCGGGGCACCCCGGGGGGTGCAGCAGGCAGGAGGGCAGCCGAGGGTGCCTGGGGCACCCCAGGGAGTGCAGCAGGCAGGGGGTCAGTCGGGGATGCCCGGAGCACCCCTGGGAGTGCAGCAGGCAGGAGGGCAGCCGGGGGTGCCCGGGGCACCCCAGAGAGTGCAGCAGGCAGGGGGGCAGCCGAGGGTGCCCGGAGCTCCCCAGGGAGTGCAGCAGGCAGGGGGGCAACCGGGGGTGCCCGGGGCACCCCGGGGGGTGCAGCAGGCAGGAGGGCAGCCGAGGGTGCCCAGGGCACCCCGGGGGGCGCAGCAGGCAGGAGGGCAGCTGAGGGTGCCCGGAGCACCCCAGGGAGTGCAGCAGGCAGGGGGGCAACCGGGGGTGCCCGGGGCACCCCAGGGAGTGCAGCAGGCAGGGGGTCAGCCGGGGGTGCCCGGGGCACCCCAGGGAGTGCAGCAGGCAGGAGGGCAGCAGGGGGTGCCCGGGGCACCCCAGGGAGTGCAGCAGGCAGGGGGGCAACCGGGGGTGCCCGGGGAACCCCAGGGAGTTCAGCAGGCAGGGGGTCAGCCGGGGGTGCCCGGGGCGCCCCAGGGAGTGCAGCAGGCAGGTGGGGAGCCGGGGGTGCCCAGGGCACCCCAGGGAGTGCAGCAGGCAGGAGGGCAGCAGGGGGTGCCCGGAGCACCCCAGGGAGTGCAGCAGGCAGGAGGGCAGCCGAGGGTGCCCGGGGCACCCCGGGGAGTGCAGCAGGCAGGTGGACAACCGGGGGTGCCCGGGGCACCTCAGGGAGTGCAGCAGGCAGGAGGGCAGCCGGGGGTGCCCGGGGCACCCCAGGGAGTGCAGCAGGCAGGGGGGCAACCGGGGGTGCCCGGGGCACCCCAGGGAGTGCAGCAGGCAGGGGGTCAGCCGGGGGTGCCCGGAGCACCCCAGGGAGTGCAGCAGGCAGGAGGGCAGCCGAGGGTGCCCGGGGCACCCCAGGGAGTGCAGCAGGTATGAGAGCAGCCGAGGATGCCTGGAGCACCCCAGGGAGAGCAGCAGGCTGGGGGGCAGCCGGGGGCGACCAGAGCACCCCAGGGAGAGCAGCAGCTAGGGGGGCAGCCGGGGGTGACCCGAGTACCCCACGGCGAGCAGCAGGTAGGGGAGCAGCCGGGGGTGACCGGAGCACCCCAGGGAGTGCAGCAGGCAGGAGGGCAGTCGATGGTGCCTGGGGAACCCAGGGAGTGCAGCAAGGAGGAGGGCAGGGAGTGCAGCAGGCAGGAGGGCAGCTGAGGGTGCTCGAAGCACCCCAGGGGAAGCAGCAGGTAGGGGGGCAGCCGGGGGTGACCGGAGCACCCCAGGGAGTGCAGCAGGCAGGAGGGCAGTCGATGGTGCCTGGGGAACCCAGGGAGTGCAGCAAGGAGGAGGGCAGGGAGTGCAGCAGGCAGGAGGGCAGCTGAGGGTGCTCGAAGCACCCCAGGGGAAGCAGCAGGTAGGGGGGCAGCCGGGGGTGACTGGGGCACCCCAGGGAGTGCAGCAGGCAGGAGGGCAGCCGAGGGTGCCCTGGGCACCCCAAGGAGCACATCAATCAGGGGGGCGATCGATGGACGACCAGGAGCAACAGCTGGAGGAGTGGTGTCGAATTTTGGAGCTGGATACCCCCATGGCGACTGTGGAGGAGTCAGAGGCGGACGAAGCACCTCCCATGCCGCCTTCCCCATGCCCCCGCTTTCCGTGCGACACGTGTTTCCACACTTTCGCTACGCGGGGGGCCGCCGCGAACCACATGAGGGTATGCCGAGCGGCGGAGGCGGAGAGGCGTGCACAGGCTCTCGGCTCGATTCCGTCTCTGGTGGAGACCGACACGCAGGAGCGATCGACGCCGCGGGAATTTGGGGAGGAGGCGTGGGCTGGGGTTACGTCATGGGAATGGGAAACATTTTTCAGCGTGGAGGCGGTTGGAGGGAGGACAGTGCGCCGGATCCCACAGCGGGCCAGGTCGGGGGTTTTAAACGCGCTCTGTTGCATCCTTAAGTGCTTGAAGAGCCAGCCGGGAGATGAAGCCGCTACCCTCCTACTCTTAGCGTTTCCGTGCCTCATCCTAGCCATGCCTCCCAAGCCAGGCATAGGTCAGAAGGCGCTTATCACAGAGCGGTTGGGTGCGTTCTGGGAGGGGAGGTGGCGGGAGCTGTTCGATTCTGCCATGGTGGCGGCGCGGCCAGCAGTTTGCCCACTTTCCTACACTTGCTCTGACCAGGACCCGGATACCATCCGCCTGTCACGGTGCCGATCTCGGTGCAAAGTGGGGGAGTGGAGCCGTGGATTGGCCTGCCTTACAGCAGGGGAGTTGGCTCGACCGTCGGAGGTCATGGTGCAGTCGCTGCGAGAGAAGCACCCGGCTAGCGCTGGCGAGGTACCACAGTGGGTCCGCGATTTCACCATCGATACTGCTCAACGGCCTTCACTCACGACCGACATCCTGGCCAGAGCTATCCATACAGCCGCTCGAGCTTCAGCAGCAGGGCCATCGGGGTGGGTCACAGAGCATCTGCGCGACACCTTCCTCACTGAACCTTCCTGCGTTTCCCACTTGTTGGAAGTGTTCAACCAATGGGTGGCAGGACAGGTCCCCGAGCGGGCTCAGCCGTGGCTCGCCGCATCCAACCTAGTCGGGCTTTCCAAGCCTAACGGCGACGTCCGGCCGGTGGCGATCGGGGAGGTGCTTCCTCGTATCCTAACTCGAGCTCTCTGCATCTCGCTCCGCCCTGCAATGGTTTCCTACTTCCTGCCGTGCAACCAGCTGGGAGCGGGCACCAAGGTCGGGGCGGAGATTCTTACTCACTCTTTCCGGTCAGCGCTGGCCACTCACCCCGACTGGTGTGCGCTACAGATAGACGTCGCAAACGCCTTCAATTCGTTTCACCGTCATGTGATGTTCGATGGGCTGCGGGAGTCGCCTTTCTCAGGGATGATCCCATTCTTGCGTGTCTTTTATGGGACACCTAGCGACCTGTACCTCCGAGCAGGCCCTTTCGTACAGAGCCTCGAGTCAGCACGGGGATCGAGGCAGGGGGACCCGCTTGGCCCTTTTCTTTTCGCGTTCACTCAGCAACAGGTGATGGAGCCGGATACTAGGGAGCTCAAGGACCTGCTTTTCCTCAGCTATGCAGATGATACCTATATTTTGGGGCCAGCGGCTAGGATTCTGGAGGCTTTTGGGGTGCTTCGGGAGCGGTTGGAGTGGGTGGGGCTGGAGGTGCAGGCGCACAAGTGCCGGTTTTGGGAGCGCAAGGGCAAGGAGGTGGAGCGGGCACTGCCATTGGGGATGCAGCGGGTGGATGAGGGTCTTACTGTGGTGGGCGTGCCTATTGGAGAGGAGGTTTGGGAGGTGGTCCGGCTACGGGAGCGGCTTCGACAGTTGCAGGCGCCACTGCCATGGCTCCCCTTGCTCGACCACCCCCAGATGGCTTCACACCTCCTCGCCATTGCAGTTTCAGCGCGGCCGATGTACCTCGCCCGGACTATGCCGCCGCGTCCGGAGGTAGTTGAGGCTTTTAGGGATTGGGACAGCTGTTTAGAGGATTGCTTTGAGCAGCTTTTTCCACCTGGCACTTGGGAGCAGGACCCCGACCGGTCTAGGCGCGCACGCATACAGCTGCATCTCCTTGTGCGTCTCGGAGGGTTCGGGATTCGGGCGGCGACCTCTTTGAGCCCACTGTCCTATGTTTGTGGGTGGGCGCAGGCCGCGCGTGACATTGCACAGTTAGGGGTGGCGGGTGAGGAGGCGATGTTTGCAGAGTACCCCACCACTTCGACAGGGGCAGAGTTTCTTGACCCGTGGTTTGTCAAGGGTTTTGAGCAGCTGCCAGCGACTATCCGCCACGAGATACTGTCAGACTAATATATAATTCTATATATTGTTCTATAACTGCCTGTAGTGTAGAATACTGTAGTCATATAACTTTCTAGTTGGTGGTGCACCTTGCATGCTCTGTTTGCTATATGTACTCTTGTGCTATAGTGAACACCACTCCCCTCTCAACTTTCTCGACACTTCTCCTTACCCTCGAACTCGATCACTAAGCTACTAAACCTATGGCTCCTAAGCCTACTCATGCTTAGTATCTTAACATGGAATTAGAGCGACTACGCTCTTGGCCTGTGGGCCCCACGTGCTTCCGCTGCTTTTCTGTCTGTCGCGCACCCCGTGGCGCGCGACACCTTTTTCTTCCCGCCACGTGCTCGGGGCGCGTGGCGGTTTTCCACCCGCCGTGCGCCCCGGGCGAGCGGCGTCTTCCTGCCCCGTCGCCGCCCTTCTCGGCCCCTCACGGCCTCTTCGCAGCCCCATCGCTGCTCCTCTCACGGCCCCTCGCGCCACCCTTAGCGGCCCCGTCGCCACACTTCGCGGCCCTGTCGCCGCCCCTATCGGCCCTGTCGCCACTCCTAGCGGCCCCGTCGCCGCCCTTCTCGGCCCCTCGCGGCCCCTTCGCGGCCCTGTCGCCGCCCCTTCTCGACTCCGTTGCCGCCCCTAGTGGCCCCGTCACCTGCTCGTCGCGCCCCCCCCCCCCCCCCCTGGCCGCCGCCTCTGCCTCCCCTCCCCTGTGCCCGCGCCTGCTTTGCAACAGCGCGTGGGCCTGCCTTGCAACTGCAGCCGCCCCTGGAGCAGCCGCCACTGCAGCAGCCGCCCCTGGAGCAGCCGCCCCTGCAGCAGCCGCCCCTGGCCTCTGGAGCAGCTGCCACTGCAGCAGCCGCCCCTGGAGCAGCCGCCCTTGCAGCAGCCGCCCCTGCAGCAGCCGCCCCTGCAGCAGCCGCCCCTGGCCTCTGGAGCAGCCGCCACTGCAGCACCCGCCCCTGGCCCCTGGAGCAGCCGCACTTGCAGCCGCCCCTAGCCCCTGGAGCAGCCGCCCCTGCAGAAGCCGCCCCTGGCCACTGGAGCAGCCGCCACTGCAGGAACCGCCCCTGGCCCCTGGAGTAGCCGCCTCTGGAGCAGCCGCCCCTTGAGCAGCCGCCACTGCAGCAGCCGCTCCTGGACCCGGTGCAGCCGTGGGGGGGTGGGTATGGGGGTGGTGGGTGTGGGGGTGATAGGTATGGGGGTGGCGGGTGTGGGGGTGATGAGTGTGGGACAGGTGGGGGAGGTTGAGTGGAGGTGGCCGCCGTGAAGCCAGCAGCTCCAGTCGCCCATGAGACCGTTGCGCCAGTCGCCCGTGAGCCCGTAGCTCCAGTCGCCAGTGAGCCCGTTGCTCCAGTAGCCCGTGGGTCAGTTGCTCCTGCCACTCGTCTAGCCGCGGAGCCAGTTACTCCAGTTGCCCGTGTGCCAGTTGCTCCAGTTGCCAGTGTGCCTGTTGCTCCAGTTGCCCGTGTGCCAGTTACTCCAGTTGCGCCGTGTGTCTGTCGCTTCCGCCGTCGCCTCCCATCTCCTCTCCTGTCACAGTCCCTCCTCCTCCTCACTTCCCCTCTCCTTCTCCTGCGCTTGGTGTACCCCTTCAGGGGGCGTTGACTGCACATTCTTCCCTACAGGCACTTATGGGGGCGTGTCAGACTAATATATAATTCTATATATTGTTCTATAACTGCCTGTAGTGTAGAATACTGTAGTCATATAACTTTCTAGTTGGTGGTGCACCTTGCATGCTGTGTTTGCTATATGTACTCTTGTGCTATAGTGAACACCACTCCCCTCTCAACTTTCTCGACACTTCTCCTTACCCTCGAACTCGATCACTAAGCTACTAAACCTATGGCTCCTAAGCCTACTCATGCTTAGTATCTTAACAGATACCGGGCTTACCTCTGTGTGTAGCGGCCCCTCCTGTTCGGCTTTTCCAGGCGCGGCAGCGGCAGTTAGCTGTAGAGGAGCTCCAGGCAGTGCGCCGCTTGGCTCGTGACGATGCCACCTTGGCCCGTTTCACATCCCTTCAGGGCCCGGGGGCAGGTGCATGGGTTTCGGCGGTTCCGGCTCACTCAGATCTCACATTCACTGCGGCTGAGTGGGGCATTGCTGCTGCTATACGGCTCGGCCTCCCAATCCAGCAGCTGCAGGTGGCGGGGAGGTGTGTTTGTGGCACAGCGTTTGTTGACCCAGCAGATCCGCACCATGCCCTGAGATGCAGGCATCAGCATGGTCCTTCTCGGGTGCATGATGAGGTGAAGTTTGCGGTGGCGAAGATCTCTAAGGCGTCGGGGGGGGTGGTGACAATGGAGGATAGTGTGGTGTTGCATGGGAAGCGGGTTGATGTGGCGGTGCGACGTCCAATGGCTAGAGAGGCTCACGCCCTAGAGATCAGCGTCGCGGACCCGCTATCACTGTCTCCATCACTGCTGGGACAGTGCGGGCGTCAAATAGGTGTGGCGGCAAGGGAGTGGGAGCGCCGCAAAACGAGTGACTACGCGCCTCTGCTTGCACGCAACCGGGGCGTGCAGTTCACCCCTTTGATAGTTGAGACGTGGGGGTGTCTCGGCGGTCGTTTTCAGCGGTGGCTTCGTCAGCAGGGGGATGCGCACGTGGGACTAGCTGTGTCGCGGGGGGCTTGTCGAGAGGACGACTCTGTGTTTTCGGCTTATCTTTTAGGGTCACTGAAGGCGCTCATCGGGGTGGCGTTACAACGGGCGCAAGCCCGTGTCATCCTGCTTCGAACAGTGTCTTCCATGGGGGGGGTAAACGTAGATTTGGTGGATCGGGAGTGGGACGATGTCGATGTGGAAGGCGGGGCTCTCTGGGTGGAGGCCCCGTACATGGTCGATACGTTGATGTGATTGAAGGGGGGGGGGGGGGTTGGGGTGTGGGATGGGATGTCTTGATGGGGTGTCTTGACTGGGCGTTTTGATTGGGTATCTTGAGTGGGGGTTTTATGTGTGCTGCATTTGGGTTCTTTTTGGCAGTTTCATCTTCCAACTTCCTTAGCCAAAAAAAAAAAAAAAAAAAAAAAAAAAAAAAAAACGATCAATGTGTCCAGATCTTAACGATGTTTCTTCCAGTGGCATAGAGAACCAAATTCGTCGGTTGAAAAATAGCGGCAACAACAAGGTATCTCCCTTTCTTTCTTCATTTCCTTTCTTTTTCAACTTTTTTAACTTTCAGACAACAGCATAGATGGTGGTGTTGTTGGCAAAAAAAAAAAACAAGAGGCGACGAAATCGTCTTAGGGTTGCGAACATATGATTCACTTCGATCGACTGCGCTACACGAGGTGAGCTAAAATCTTGCTAAAAATATAAATTCATCTCACATTGCGCGTGAACTGATCTAGGGTTTCGTTTTCATTTTCCTCTTCCTCCCTTCCTCTCGCGACTGGAGCCTTGCCTCCCGCCACTCAGGTCAGGAAACTAAGATGCCTCCTAGAACTTAATTAGCTGATGTTAACATCTAAGCTCTTATTATACCATAGTCATTTACCTACTTCAGCGCATCTCGTGGTAGCATTCAGGTCGTTGATTAGCGTGCATCCCTCTATTCATTTATTCCATTTTCAAGCCTGTTCCCACATAGCAGTATGTCGTTTTGCTTTCATTTGTTTATATCGCTTTCAAGAGCTGCAACCCATTCTGCTACACTTTTTTGAATGGTTGCAGCTAATTCGATTGAAATGCTAGTAATGCTACGATCCTTTGATCTACTAGCTAGGTTCGTTTTAAGCCGTTGTTGTTTAATTTGATCTAATCTTTTGTAGCTCCCACGATTTGCTTGCAGAAAACGGTCGACCACATTGTTGTCTCACTCCCTCGTCTTATTGACGGTGAGTTAGTGTTTGAACTACATATTGGGAAAGAAAGAGGGGGAGAGCACAAGAGCGCAGAAGCTTAGACTAAAGAGAGCGTGTGAGAGAACGAATACGAACTCTCTGTTTTTTTGTTAGAGCCGCTGGCCATTTCGACCCGTTGACTCAACGATATTCTGACGGTTAAATCAGAATAGATAGTTGTCAGAACATTATAGCTTATGCTTTTGTGTAGGCTGTAGTGGGGTAGCCCATATAGGGTACAACCCAATTAGGGTTAGTACTTGTACCCAACTCTTTCATAGTGCATTCATTCTCGTTTCAGTTTTCTCATGGTATCGAGCAGGTTCCCTCGTGGGAACTGTTCCTTGTCAGTAGAGCTACACTGTGAGATCCCCTATCGATCCTAGGGGGGGTTACAGGCGCGTTTGCCTGGGGGGTTATGAGCGCACTCACCCGCTACTAAAACAAGCCCTTTTATCCCAATGGTCTAGTGGTTGGGATTCTGACATGGTATCAGAGCGGTCTCGGGTTCGAATCCCGGTGTATGCACATGTTGGCCGTTGCCACTGTGCTCAGTCCTCGGCCTCCCAGTGTGGGGGGGTGTCAGTAGAGCTACAGTGTGACATCCTCGATCGATCCTAGGGGGGGTTATAGGCGCGTTTGCCTGGGGGGTTATGAGCGCACTCACCCGCTATTGAAACAAGCCCTTTTATCCCAATGGTCTAGTGGTTGGGATTCTAACATTCCTAGGGCCCACCGATTCGATTTTTTTTTTCCTGCCCGGAGCACGCTCAGCCCTTGCCCGAGTCGCGCTCCCCCTTTCTCATTGTGTCGCGCCGCCCTAGTGGCTGTGTCGCGCCGCCCTAGCGGCTGTGTCGCGCCGCCCTTAACGGCCCCGATCCGCCGCCCTAGCGGCCCCGTCGCCTACCCCGCGGCCCTCGAGCCGCCCTTCCTGGCCCCGATTCGCCGCCCTTTCGGCCCCGTCGCCACCCCGCGGCCCTTGCGCCGCCCTTCCCGACCCGGCCCCGCCCTTGCTGGCGCCGTCGCCTACCTGCGGCCCCGACGCCTACCTGCGGCCCCGTCGCCTACCTGCGGCCCCGTCGCCTACCTGCGGCCCCGCCGCCTACCTGCGGCCCCGTCGCCTACCTGCGGCCCCGCCGCCTACCTGCGGCCCCGTCGCCTACCTGCGGCCCCGTCGCCTACCTGCGGCCCCGCCGCCTACCTGCGGCCGCGTCGCTGCCCTTCCCGGCTCAGGCGCTGCCCTTTCTCGGCCCCGACGCTGCCCTTCCCGACCCGGCCCAGTCTCTGCTGGCCCCGTCGCCTACCTTACGGCCCCGGCACCGCCCCTTCCCGGCCCCGGCCCAGCCCTTGCTGGCCCCGTCGCACGCCTTTCCCGGCCCCGACCCCGCCTTCACGCGGCTCCGCCGAGCTACTGCCGAGCCGCCAGCGCCACCCGAGCCGCCGCGCCACCTGAGCCGCCGAGCCGCCTTAGCCGCCCGAGCCGCCCAAGCCGCCCGAGCCGCCGTCCCGCCGAGCCGCCCAAGCCGCCCGAGTCGCCTGAGCCGCCCGAGCCGCCCGAGCCGCCCGAGCCGCCCGAGCCGCCCGAGCCACCCGAGCCGCGAAGTAGCCGAGCCGCCGAGCTGCAGTTCCTGCCGAGCCACCGAGCTGCGATCCCTGCCGAGCTGCCAAGTTGCAGTTCCTGCCGAGCTGCCGAGCCCCCGAGCTGCCCTGTCCGGTAAGAGTAGCGCCTCTGTCACTGCACTGCCCTTACCCCACTGTTCGCGCTACGAGTCTATTGCTGTCATGGCTACCCCTATTGTCCTCGCTTTTGACGCTGAGGGTCGGGCCATTGACTTTGATGTCTGGGTAGATGGCCTGCAGCTTTTCCTACAGTGCGATAGGGCAGACGGTCTCTCCCTCTTTGACCTCACCTCTGGTGCCTCTCCTGCCCTCTGTTGCCTCTGCTACTGCGGCCGACCTCGTTGGGCTTGAGTCGGTCGGTGCGGCGTCTACCCCTAGCGGGAGACGCCGCCCTGGCAAGGGCAAGGGGGGCAGGGGCGCTGGAGGAGCTAGCGGGGGCGGTGGAGGCGGCGGTGGAGGCGGCGGAGGGAGTGGGGGTGGCGGTGGGGGTGGTGGCGGGGGTGGAGGTGTCGGTGGCGGCAGTGGAGGCGGAGGCGGCGGTGGTGGCGGTGGGAGCGGAGGTGGTGGCGGAGGTGGCGGCGGTGGAGGAAGCGGTAGCGGAGGAGGTGGTAGCGGAGGAGGTGGAGCTGGTCGGGGTGGCGCTACGCAGAGGGTCGGCTCCGGTGGTGGTCAGCGTCAGCAGCAGCAGCACCAGCAGCAGCGCACTCGTGACATCCCCTCCCCTCAGGAGCTCGGTGAGTGGTACGCTGCACGCCAGCGGGGTGGGGGTACTGGTCCGTGCACCTACGTCCTACGCACCGGCGACCGCGCGGGTGAGCAGTGCGGGGGTGCGCACTCCACCTAGCGCTGCTTTGGCCGCCTGACGGACGCTTGGCGTCACCAATTCCCGGAGGCCACGGAGATCCCCCGCTGGGGTGAGCTGTCTAGGGCGGGAGTAGCTGTCTTTGACCTTGACTTTGATGGCTATTCTTGCTGCCATGTATGTTGTGACTATAAGTGATGAGGGTGACTGTTACCGGTGTTTTCCGCCCGACCCGGGCATTGAGACTGCCGCTTGGCCGGCCAGTTGCAGTCTCTCTGGCAGACCCGTCTGGGGGTCCTGTCCTTGCTCACTACTCCACTGTCCTCCCGTGTCCGGCGGCCCCCTCTGGCACCCTGTCTGGTCTGGTGAGTGGTGCTGACCTACAGGATGCGGGGGTTCACCAGTTCACTCATGCGCGTCAGCGGGTGACCCACTGCACGGACGCTCGGACAGGCCGACACCTGGCCACGTGTACACGTCGGCCGGGGTCGAGCCTGTACACACTGACCACTGCGTCTCCTCCAGTCACTGCGTCTGGTCAGGTAGCTGCGTCGGGTCAGGTGTTTGCTGTAGCGTCCAGGTCTGGTCCTGAGTCTGCCCCCTGCTCGTGTCGCCTCCTGTCTCACGAGACTCTCCTCTGGCACCACCGCCTTGGTCACCCCTCCCTGCTTCGTCTCCGAGGCATGGCCTCCCGTGTCCTTGTCTCTGGTCTTCCCCGGTCCCTCCCTCCCCTTCCTCTTGGGCCTAGCCCTACCTGCGTCCCCTGTGTCGAGGGGCGGCAACGGGCTGCCCCTCACTCCTCCCAGTTTCCTCCGACAGAGGCCCCATTGCAGACGCTTCACATGGACGTGTGGGGCCCAGCCCGCGTCCGTGGACAGGGTCCAAGCGCTACTTCCTGCTGGTGGTTGACGACTACTCGCGTTACACCACAGTCTTCCCCTTGCGCAGCAAGGGTGATGTCACTGCGGTGTTGATCGACTGGATCCGCGCAGCGCGTCTCCAGCTCAGGCAGAGCTTCGGCTCGGACTTTCCTGTTCTGCGTCTGCACTCTGACAGAGGCGGAGAGTTCTCCTCTGGCCTTCTGCAAGCCTACTGTTGTGCACGAGGCATCCGCCAGACCTTCACGCTTCCGGACTCTCCAGAGAAAAATGGGATTGCTGAGCGCCGCATTGGCATGGTCATGGATGTCGCTCGTACGTCCATGATGCATGCGGCTGCCCCCCATTTTCTGTGGCCGTTTGCGGTTCGGTACGCGGCGCATCAGATCAACCTTCACCCCAGGGTCTCCATGCCGGAGACCTCCCCAGCTTTGCTGTGGACGGGGAAGGTTGGCGATGCGTCTGCGTTCCGTGTCTGGGGATCTCGGGCGTTTGTTCGCGACTTCTCTGCGGACAAGCTGTCCTCTCGTGCTGCTCCTTGCGTCTTCCTTGGCTTCCCCCCTGACGCGCCAGGGTGGCAGTTCTACCACCCCACCTCTCGCCGTGTTCTGTCCTCCCAGGACGTCACGTTTGACGAGTCGGTCCCCTACTACCGCCTCTTCCCCTACCGCACTCCGTCCCTCCCCCCGCCACCACTCTTCCTTGTACCAGGTC